ATAGGATTAAAGGTAAAAGTAGTGCATTATCAGTAAACCATCTAAATGTTGATAATACCACCTTAACAACATTTCCTGATATTGCTAATTCTCTGGCCAGTACTTTTTCATACAATTCATCATCCAATTTCTCCTCCAATGCCTTTCTAGGCATTAAACAACAGCAGGAGAAAAGGAGACTTAATTTCAAGTCCCGTAATGATGAATGCTATAATGATACTTTTTCCATTGCAGAGCTTCGGGATTCGCTAAAGCGAGCTCGGGACACTGCAACTGGTCCAGATGAAATACACTACCAAATTCTAAAACATCTACCTTTTTCCACTCTCTTAATTTTACTGGATCTTTTTAACCGGATTTGGGTTGATGGGAAATTCCCCCCTTCGTGGCATGAAGCCACAATAATTCCCATCCCAAAACCCGGTAAAGATCATACGAATCCTACCAATTATCGTCCGATCGCTTAAACTAGCTTAGGGGTGATGATTTTCCGTGATCGCGGAAAAAACGCGGAAATCGCGGAATTGTCCACTCAAAACGGAATTTGAAATCTCACACGGAAAAAGACGGAAAAGCCGATATTTGCTGATACTAAACACAAACTCAAAATAGTTTTGCAGTTATCCAAGTATTTTATCTTTTTATTCATAAAAATCGGAAATATTGAATGATATCGCGTGGTTTTGTTACTGTCTATTTTAGTATTTCGCTACTTTCATTTCATCATTTAGGAATCATAATTTTAATCGAAACGAAAACCCGTCTTTCATGTATCCCATTATAAAATTACTCTGTAGTTTAACTTGAATTAAACATTGTAATGTATATATATGTCTTTAAAAAAACTTCTGTCACTTCATAAAAGTAAAAATCGTTTCATTTACTTCTTATTTTACTGCCGGGCTCGTGACTCGTGTTTATCCGCATTAACCACGTGACATCAGAAATATACCGTAGCCTTGTGAATCCAGCCCTTATTCTCGAAGAAACGGTAGTAACTACGAAGATGTCTGGATAAATCGCGACTACACCTAGCAGCTGAGAAACATGACTTCGTCTGCTAAAAAGATGAAACGAGCTCACAAGATGTAATTTTCTGTTATTTAATTCGGGAAACAGGTTTAAAGAATAACTAGTCATTGAACATTACAAGTCATTCACAATTCAACATTTGTTATCATTGGTTTAAAATGATCCGTTTTGTAATAAAAGGCATTTTAAGATGTTTTATTCATTTATTCATAAAATAACATTTTATCTCGAAAAAACGGAATATGGTCAGCTCTGAAACGGAAAATAACGGAATTAAAAATACTTAAAACGGAATTTGCTATTTTCTGAAACGGAAAATCATCACCCCTACTAGCTGTATTTGCAAAACCATGGAGAGATTGATCAATCGAAGGCTTGTTTGGTACCTTGAGTCCAACAACCTCATTACAGACCTCCAATGTGGATTTCGGTCCCAAAGGAGCACTCTTGATCATCTCGTTAGATTTGAAACGTTTGTCAGGGACGCTTTCATCTAGAAGCAACATTTAGTTGCAATATTTTTTGATCTGGAGAAAGCATATGATACAACGTGGAAACACGGTATTATGCGCGACCTCCATAACCTCGGCCTACGAGGTCGCGTACCTATCTTCATTAAAAATTTCCTGGAAGATAGGTCATTTAAGGTACGACTGGGATCAATATTCTCTGACCCATTTCCTCAGGAAATGGGGGTTCCACAGGGAAGTATTTTATCCCCAACTCTTTTTGCGATAAAAATTAATACTATCCCAGCGTGCCTTAAACCAGATACAAACGGCGCTCCTTATGTTGATGACTTTCAGATGTGCTATGGTTCTACAGACATGCGGATAGTCGAACGTAAGTTGCAGCTTTGTTTGAATTCACTTCAACAATGGGCAACCGAAAATAGATTTCGTTTTTCGAAATCCAAGACTGTCTGCATGCATTTCTGTCAGAAACGAGTTTTGCATCCAGATCCAGAACTTTATTTGGATGGCAACCGCCTTCCAGTTGTGGATGAAACCAAATTTCTGGGGCTGATATTTGATAAGAAATTGTCATTTATCCCCCACATTAAAAACCTAAAAAAGAAATGTCTGAAAGCCCTCAACATATTGAGAGTCTTATCAAATACTGACTGGGGAGCAGACCGTAAAGTCTTGTTCAAATTATATCAATCTTTAATAAGATCAAAACTCGATTATGGGTGTATTGTGTATGGGTCTGCCCGCGAGTCTTATCTCAAAGAGCTCGACACTATACACAGCCAGGGACTTAGAATCAGTTTAGGAGCATTTCGTACATCTCCAGTGGAAAGTTTATACGTCGAGGCGCACGAGCTCTCATTGAACAACAGACGTGATAAGCTTGCTCTGCAGTATGCTACGAAAATTGCATCACTTCCAAATCATATTTCATATAATGCCATATTTAGACCTTATCATGAGCATTTATATCTGCGAAAGACTAAGGTTATTCCATCATTCGGTATTCGCATACAACCCCTCATGTCGGAGGCTGGTATCAGCCTTGACAGTATTGCGAATACCCCTTTCTTTAGGTCTCCGCCGTGGGCTATATCTCTCCCAAAGATCGATTTCGATCTTACTCAACATAAGAAGAGAGATACTAGCTCGACGGTGTTCCAATCTCTTTTTAGAGAGCTAAGGTCTAAATATGGTGATTATGCTCCTATTTACACAGATGGCTCTAAAGATGGTGATCGGGTGGCTTCGGCTACAGTGACGCCAACTGAGACCATTTCTGTATGTCTTCCACCTGCTGCTTCAATATTTACAGCTGAGCTCCGGGCCATTCTTCAGGCTTTGGAGTTCATTCAATCATCACATTTACTACAGCACAGGATCAATTCCCGTACCACATCTAAATCGGTATGGGATAGGATTCGTAGGATTAAAGGTAAAAGTAGTGCATTATCAGTAAACCATCTAAATGTTGATAATACCACCTTAACAACATTTCCTGATATTGCTAATACCATATTTAGACCTTATCATGAGCATTTATATCTGCGAAAGACTAAGGTTATTCCATCATTCGGTATTCGCATACAACCCCTCATGTCGGAGGCTGGTATCAGCCTTGACAGTATTGCGAATACCCCTTTCTTTAGGTCTCCGCCGTGGGCTATATCTCTCCCAAAGATCGATTTCGATCTTACTCAACATAAGAAGAGAAATACTAGCTCGACGGTGTTCCAATCTCTTTTTAGAGAGCTAAGGTCTAAATATGGTGATTATGCTCCTATTTACACAGATGGCTCTAAAGATGGTGATCGGGTGGCTTCGGCTACAGTGACGCCAACTGAGACCATTTCTGTATGTCTTCCACCTGCTGCTTCAATATTTACAGCTGAGCTCCGGGCCATTCTTCAGGCTTTGGAGTTCATTCAATCATCACATTTACTACAGCACACCATCTTTACTGATTCTCTGTCCTCGCTTCAAGCAATTAACAATAAACAGCTTGAACACCCATTAGTAGCAGATGTTTATCGTCTGCTACTATCTTACGAGTTGAACAGCAAGGACATTGTCTTTTGCTGGCTCCCCAGTCACGTTGATATAAGGGGGAATGATCAAGCAGATTTTGCTGCCAAAGCTGCTTTAGATCTTCCCCAATCACCCTTTTTAATACCATATAAAGATTATAAAGCATGTATAAATCATTTTATTTATGACCGCTGGCAACGGTCTTGGGATCTTGCAGGCACAAATAAACTTCATCATATCAAGCCTCTCTTAGGAGACTGGCCAAGCTCCTATAGAACCAACAGGAGGGATGAAGTTGTTTTGTGTCGCTCTCGCATTGGTCATACTTTTTTAACTCACTTTTTCATCTTGAAACGAGAGCCTCAACCAGAATGTGAACACTGTCATGTTCCTGTGACGGTGAAGCACATTTTGATCGAGTGCAAGTATCTTGGAAATATTAGATCTAAATTTTACCGTTGCCAGACATTACATCATTTAATTGCTCAACCGGAGCTATATTGTGAGATTCTAAACTTTTTAAAAGAGACAAAATTTTATTACAAGTTTTAACTGTATATATATATGTATCCTATCTTCTTTCATTTTAATTGTTTATATTCATAAAGTATTTGATATTTATTTTTAACTTTGTATATTATCTGTGATATTTGTTTTTATTTATGGATATAAATATATTTCTGTGATTTCCTTTATTTTGTCTTGACTTTTTCACCATATGTTTGGCGCAATATAGCCCGGTTGGAGCTGACGTGCCATAAAACCACATTTCATTCATTCATTCATTGTTAAGTACGAAACAACTTGTAGAAGACGTGACTGAAAGCTAAAATGTGTAGTTTTTAACGAAGGTATGGACAGATTTCATTCAAATCCAGCCAGATCATCCCCAATCTACATGTATGGAAATTTAAATATTTTAAGTTTTTTTGCATGGGTTCCTCGGGATAGTCCGGTGAAGTTTTCCCATGTCAGTGGTGCAGACAGGACGGAGGTCCCGTGTATGCCTTGACGTTCACGTTAAAGAACACTTGACAGAATTCGAGTAAGAGTTTGACTCGTAGCGCATTGCATGGCGTAAAGCATGTCTTCGTTAGCTCATGTTTATATGTTGTTTGGTTTTGTTTTTGAGTCTAATTCCAAATTCATATACTGGGACATTCGACATATTTTATTTAAACAACATGATGCAATATAAATGAAATGAAATGAAATGGGGTTTAACTTCCTATGATTCTGCGCCGACGGGGCTAATGAAGACAGACATACTGTGTATTATGAGGGAAACTGCCCTAACACCGGCGCTACGGCCTACTCTTATATCGAATTCCAACCGCCAAGGGATCTTTTACGTGCACCACCAATGATCCGAACGACTAGACAGCTGTCCTTGTAAGGCTCTCCGCCCTGCACCACTCACAACGGGGAACCACGCTGGAAAATCCCAATGAATTGTCTCGGCCAACAACGGAACAATAGAATTTAATTTATTTAGTTTATCTATTTTACATGCGTATCCTAGAGATACAGTATACACTTAATTTTTTTATTTCTTTGTTCTTCTATCCGAGTCTTTACGATTAGGATCTGGTACAGGTTCCGATGTTCATGAAACGAGTTCTCTGCCACCAAGCGTTATATGATTCTGTCGGTGGTGGTGGTGGTGTTGTAAAACCATCTGGATATCGTACTGTTGGAAATCGTCTTGGTCCCGATGGTTTCACGCAGGTCAAACCAGTTTCACATCTGTAAGAAAAACATGAAATAAACACTCACGTCTTTATGATTTTGTATGGTGGACAGACTGGTTTGGATTTCGGGCTAAAATAAAATTGTCTATTTCATTGGGTTTTATTTGTTGATCAATGGGGATGCGACTATGCCCTTAGAATTTTTGCATCTAGATAAAGTAAGTGTTGTGATATAACCGTTGTGATATGTCTATTTCATTGGATTTTATTTGTTGATCAATGGGGATGCGACTATGCCCTTAGAATTTTTGCATCTAGATAAAGTAAGTGTTGTGATATAACCGATTTTATATAATATCGACTCAGGACTTATTTAAATGGTCAGAGACTTCTTTGATTTGTGGCTAAAATAATATTTACGATTTCATTGAGTTTTATACGTTGATTTATTATGTGTGATGACCGTCAGACTTCATTGAAATTTATAATAAAGCTAGTTTGGTGATTTCCAACAGTAAACAAAATTAGTTAACAGGCCAACCTTCGCTTAATCCCTCCAAATAAAATAAATCAATCGTGTAGAGATGAAACTACATTAAAGATGCATTATGTAAAAGCCAAATCTACCTTTTGCGGGTCTTTATCTTGGCTCCAAATGTTATATAAACTATTATGGATAATTGAGATTAGGCTCGATTTTCAAGTATCGTTGCTACGATAATAAACAATGTACGCTACATCTTCAAACAGTCATAATCTTGCTCAGAATAAAGTAATTTGAATGAAATTTACAATATATTCATCATTCATTATCGAATTTAGCACTATCATTGCAAGAAAGGTCAGCTCGTTATCCAATTCTTGCATAATGCATCTTTAAGCTCTATTGGGTAAAATATGTTGATCATATTGTTTTACCTTTGACTATAATCGCCACAACTCCGGTTTTCTTTAATAGCGCATTTGGTACAACATCTACAGTAGTCTAGAACTTGTTCACAGTCATCAGTTGCGGGTACAGGACGACACCGACTTCTCTCTGTGTCCGTGCATGGAGAACAGGTGAATCCTTCTGATCTACCAACCAATGTTACTGCTACTAGAGCACATACTACAATTAACAACTTCATACTGAAACAAACAGTATAATACATGGTTACAAGACTTGGTGTCAGGGTGTTTTGGTAGCTACCAATAGAATAGTTAAAAGTAGGACGTTAATTTCATTTCATTTCGGAGCAGAACAGTTCAACGTTAAAACTCATTTCATTTCGGAGCAGAACAGTACGACGCTAAAACCCATTTTATTTCAGAGTCGAACAGTAGGACGTTAAACACCATTTCATTTCATTTCTCTCACTAATAATGTTATTGATCTACCGACCCACTTACATCTATCTATCGCAACCAGCAAAAACGAACGACTATTTATATGGTATCCGATTGCGGAAATCCATATTAGCTTGGTCCAAATCAGAATAATCCGGCAAAACTTTAACTGAAAACACATACTATGCAAATGGTAAATCTTCCTATTTGCAGGTCTTTCTTTCGGTCTGAAGTTGTATATGAACTATTAATTAGGCATTTATTAACATGAAAAAATCTCAATCACCTCTACATGCCATCTTATTTGTCGGATTTTTACTGAATTTGAATCCGATCTGCTGCTCAACGCTCATTAAAATCATCTAAAAATGGATAATCCAGAATATGTTGAGTTTTTTTTTTATCGTACCGACTTACGTATTGATGATCGAGCCTAAAGTTCAATCGCTAGTTTCTCGGTTCAGGGTGGATCAATTTGACTGAAATTGTCAGCAAATTCCCTTTACATTATCTAGTTGTTAACTATTATAGTGAGAACTGCCAGCTCTTTATCTTATCTTTCATATATAATGTAATAAATTTCAAACGACTAGGAAAAATCAAATTAACGACCCAAATTGCATAATATACATAGCATAAATTAATTCACTGTTCTGGTATTTGCTATCAAAATGTGTCCTTGTCTGGCAAATCTCACAAAATCTTAAGTACTCTTAGATGTATTAAAGATCTCTTCCCGCGTACAAACTGGGTGATTTGATGATATATTTAGACTAAAAACATATTCAAAGTAATTAACCTATTAAATATTTGCTTCAAATCATTGTATTCGCGTGGAAATACGCCACGATATAAAAACCAAATCATTTTCAAAAGCCATGTTTATCATGTAACTTGATTGTAGGAGGGTCCATTTCAGTATGTATTTGTCGTTACGTACTGTCCATTTGCCATACATATGGAAATCTAAATAAATTCTTGGATTATTTTCTGCCAAGTTATTTTCCTCCATTTAATTTCAGTTGTAAGTTTAAACCCCTCAATGTTCCCAAATGCGCCTAACCATTCGATCAAGAAATAACAACCGCTTCCTTAGTCAAGCTGTCAGACAATAAGCCGTAGGGTTGCCAGTTAGTGATACCCTGACATTTATAGCCAGTGCTTGGCTCACGGGTGTTTTTCTAGTAAGGTTGGGTGTCTCTACTTTTCATTTATACCAAATTTGCCACACTTTTATCGGAAATAACTACCCTATAAATACTTTCGTGAGAATGTATCTTTAAGGGGTATTTAAAATATGATGGCCCATACATTAAAATTGGTTGAAACAACTCGTAAGATAAATTGTTTTAGGTACCAAATATATTTCGCCAGTACTTGAAACATATTTTCAAATCGGTGGTTATAACATGAAATGAAGGGGGATCTAACGTCCGGCTGTTCTGCTCCGATTGGGCTAACGAAGACGGGCATACGCCAAACTGTGCTATGAGGTCATTTTGCCCGGGCAGCGGCAATATGGTCTACTCTTATATCAGAATCCAACTGCCAAGGGAGATAATGTGTACACGGGACCTCGGTTTTTAACTTATCGGAACGACTAACGATGGTTATATATTAAGAATCTCAACTCTAGAGGGAATATAGCTTTAAATCAATTTTTATAATTATAGAAATGAAATGAAATGGGGGTTTAACGTCCTACTGTTCTGCTCCTATACTGGGCTAATGAAGACGGGCATACGCCATACAGTGTGCTATGAGGGAAATTTTGCCCGGGCAGCGGCACTATCGCCTACTCTTATATCGAATTCGAACTGCCAAGGGATCTTTTACGCGCATTCCAATGTATACACGGGACCTCGGTTTTTCGTCTCATCCGAAGGACTAGACAGCTGTCCTTGTCAGGCCCTCCGTTCTGCACCACTGACAAGGGGAACCAGGTCGGAAAATCCAGATGAACTTTCTCGGCCAATGCAGGGATCGAACACCCGACCTCCAGGCTAGCGAGCCAGCGTCTTAACCACCTAGCCACCGTGGCTCCCTTATAATTATAGACTGTCACTTACCTTTTATTAATACAGATTAATCTTGTCTGTAGTCTGTATGATTTGTTCTCTATATATACAGTATTGATGCTGATCTTGCTTGGTTCGTTCCTGGTCCCGGAGCTTTACGTCCACTTCTACAATGTATTAATACTGATCTTGCTTTATTATATACAGCATATATATATGACACATTGATGGTGGTGGTTTATTAAATATTAGCCAAATTATATCCCCTAACACCATTAAACCATATCATGAAATAATACTATTAATCTGTGCTGTGGCCTGTATGCTTATTAGCCCAATTATATCTCCGAGGTGCTAGATATTAACACCATTTAAAATCATAAAATATATTATAAATCTGTGCTATGGTCTATATGCAGTTTTGTCCATTTGTATAATGCATTGAGAGTGATATTGACAGATGGGAATGGTGTATGAAATAGTATCCCAATTATATAAAATATTACCATTTAATATATCATCAAATTACGATAGTAGTGGGTCTATTAATACCGGTGTAGGCATATGATTGGTGGTAATTTAAATTGCTTTCTTTCAATCAGGTGGCGTCAACTCACTGAAAATAAATTATTACTCCTTTTGTGGTATAAAGTAACAACATTAAAAATTTTACCAGTTTCCCTCGTAGCACTCTGTATGGCGTATTAGCCCAAAACCCATTTCATTTCATTTCTTCTTTTTTTTTTACCCTCGTTTAGTTTTAGTTTGTTTAATGTCATCCATGCTGGTGTACGATTTGTGGATTCGTCTACTAGAGTGGGGTTGATAACGTCAACTATTTCCGGTTGACCATTACATATTGGGTTATATATCTTAGATACGACGAGAACCAGGCAAGTGATGTTAAGTCAATAGAGTTACACACCGGGCGCTATCCAAAGATGCTGATAGTTAAAAATCTTGGATATCTAACGAACGAACTCTGTCTGCCATACCGCAAATAAACAACATCATAAGCCGCATGCACTTCCAAATGCGGTCTTTATCCAAAATTAGGAACTACCTGAATCCAGGTGCTCTAAAAACTGTTATCAACGCCTTGGTCATTTCACACTTAGACTATGCAAATTCACTTTTATCTGGAGCACCAGAAGCAGTTCTTGATGGACTTCAAATCGCTCAAAATAACGCTGCAAGACTTGTCACAAGAACCTCAAAATATGATCACACCTCATTGTATATGAAGCAGCTACACTGGATACCGGTGAGAGCCAGAATAAAATTTAAAATTCTCGTCAACACCTATAAATCAGTAATAACCAAAACAGCTCCTAATTATATGGTGGAAATGTTTAATGTGTACACCACTGGCCGAACTAATCTTCGTTCAGGACGTGACAAACCCCTACTAGCTGTTCCACGCTTTCAGCACCAGGTGGGCGAGTTTTCATTTTCCGTTAGGGGTGCCAAACTTTGGAATGAACTACCCAGAAACATCAGAGAGTGTACCCAACTATCTCAGTTTAAATCTAAACTGAAGACTCATATGTTTAGTAACTCATATAAATAGAATCATGTGCCTACCATTGTCTAGATATGACTGTACAGCGCTTAGAAATAACTATTGTTATAATGTAGCGCTTTAAAAATGAAATTATAATAATAATAATAATAGGTCAAGCAGGATTAAAGAAACGATTCTACCATCATCAACAGCACGTCTAAGATAACTAGTTATATATACGGAGAAAGAGAGAGAGAGATTGGGTTTAACGTCCACTCAACTCAAATTATGTCATTTCAGGACTAACATGGTTCAATTTTCAATTTTATTTCAATAATTCGCTTGTGCGTGGGGGTCTTTAGCAGTGGGAGGAACCCGGAGAAAACTTACGAGGTTGGACAGGCTACCAGTTGACTCAATGACAGACCTTATTACACAGCGCGCAATCGCTAACCATTCGGCATCCACCACCCCACGCCTCCACCACCACACCTAACGTCCATTTGATACAAACTGGATTAGTTCGGAACTAACATGGCGCAATTTTATTTCAATACTTCGGTTGCGAGAAAGGATATTTCGAAGTGAGAAGAAATTAAAGGACACTGAGAAAACACCAGAAAAGACACTTTGGGGCGAAACAACGCCACCTGACTCAATGACAGATTTTTTGATCTAAAGCCTACGGGTTAAACCATTCGACCATCAGACCCCCCCCCCCCCCCCGCTTCTCTCTCTCTAAGTTATAAAAGAGTTCATCTTACGTAAGGGTGTTCGGTTGGCCTAACGGTCTGGAGTGTTGCGCTTGCCTTCCCGACCGGTCGTGGTTTGGTGATAGACGGTGCCTTCGCAACATCGTGTTTTTACTCCGGTTTCCTTTCACAGAAAAAAAAACCCCTGCACATGCGCTAAATATACTATTTTAACACAATTTGCCTGCGATATCCCCTTCCTTGGACGCGGACCTTAAGCCTTATGAACAACAACAACAACAACAACAGTACAATAAGTGAACAAATCCAATCGTAAATAAATAAACGGAATTGATTCACAACCATCAGTAGGAGACCATTTTCTCCTCATTGTTTACTTTTATCACCTACTCTCGCCAACATATCTTCATATAAATGACGTCATACTGTCCTGCTCCTACTGGGCTAATGAAGGCGGGAATACGCCATACAGTGTACTATGGGGAAAATTGTGCCCGGGCAGCAGCACTATAACCTACTCTGATATCGAATTCCAACTGCCAAAGGATATTTAACACGCCTCTGTTTTTGTTCCATCAGAACGACTAGACAGTTGTCCTGCACCACTGACAAGTGGAAACCTCACAGGAAAATCCCGATGAACATCTTCATAAAATGGATTGGCTTATAGGGGAAAATTAGCACAATTAATATTTCGTTAATTGTCTAAAAGAAATACAGATGGTGGAGTGAAATTAATAGAACGCAATGTAAACTTTAAATGGCAATATTTTTTGGGATAAAAGTGCGTTTGATTTGATTTTATCGTATACTGTAGGTTTAACTTCTTTTATTGACATTTAAAAATTGAACATATTAACACAAGGACAAATTTATGGATACACAATTACTGAGTTTAAAGGCTCAATACCACTCTTGTTGTATCTGAATAATATGTCCCAATCTTTATTCTGGTCAAAAAATTGTACTATTTTACAATATTTCAATTAATTGATGATACAAATTTCATCTTAACACACCTTATTTAAAATTTTTGAAAAATTCATCATAATGGTATGAAACGTCTAACGTAAACCTTTTCAAATGAAACTTCGATTTAAAAATATTTTCGAACCCTCTGGACAAGTAAAATAGGATGTAATGGATAATTTACACAACAGGTAGGACACTTAAACATCTTGTACTTAGATAGAGATATCATTTATTTTCTGGAGCTTTCAAGCCAGCAAGAGTGTTATTGTCCCTTTAATACTAAGCGACGTTTCGACGGGGATACTCTCGTGTTTATCATTAAACACAAGAGTATCGCGACGTTTCGACGCACAAGAGTATCCTCGTCGAAACGTCGCTTAGTATTAAACTCAGTAATTGTACCGTGTGTAGGTTTAACCATCATTCTGTCGTTTTGTTGAGTTATAAATAAATAAAGAGGAATATTGGATTCTGTGCATTTCAAAGATTTGATGCACTTTTATTTTTTACTTTAAACACATTGGGGTCCAGGGCGTCTGTTCCTATTTGTAGATCCAGGACGTCGGTTTCTATTTTGAGGCCTAGGACGTCGGTTTCTGTTTCGGGTACCACTGGGTTCTGTACAGGTTCCCCGGTAGTGTTTATCTGTGGGCCAAACCAACTGTCTTTCCTCGCCGGCATCATTTGTACACACCAAACCACGCCCACATCTATCAACACAATGAACGTATTTTACTCAATTAGAGAGAGTGAGGGGGAAATGGGGTTGAACATCCACTCGACACAAACTAGGTCATTTCGGGACTAACATATGGTTTTTAATTTTATTTCAATAATTTGCTTGCGCGTAGGAGTCTTTAGCAGTGGGAGGAAACCGGGGGACCTACAATCTCGCCAACAATCACGTGCCCTAACCTTATTTACATCCCAGTGCCGCTGCCCGGGCAAAATTTCCCTCATAGCACACTGCATGGCGTATGACCGTCTTCATTAGCCCAGTATAGGAGCAGAACAGTAGGACGTTAAACCCCATTTCATTTCATTTCTATTTACATCTCGGCGACCCTGACGAAAAATGAGCTAGCCTTAACAAATAGATTTAGCTCAAATTAAGGGTAGACCGTACACCGCCGCTATCGGGGCAAATTGTCTCTTATGGCATACTGCATGCCGTATGCCCGTCTTCATTAGCCTAGTCGGTGCATTTCAATTGAATAATTAAGCATACACTTTCTCATGGGCTCGTCATAGGTCAGTTTGCACCCTCGACATTGCCCATCTTTTTCTCTTGGCGTCATTATTCTACTTTATTTAGTAACTCATCTATTCGTTCATTGTACTTTTCGATTCACCCCAGCCTCCATTATATTCGTTCTGTCCTTCTGTCAAATTTGATTATGAAGTACTAGCAGGATACCCGGCTTCGCTCGGGGGTCATAACTCCGAAACCGGAAGTGGTAGACTAACGCCACCTGGCCTATGTTACTCCCCGGTCCGAACTACCCCAATACCCCAAATTTCAGACTCGGGGCAGACCTAGTGTAGCCGCCAACACCGAACAGACCGGCTTCGCTCGGGGGTCATAACTCCGAAACCGGAAGTGGTAGACTAACGCCACCTGGCCTATGTTACTCCCCGGTCCGAGCTACCCCTATACCCCAAATTTCAGACTCGGGGCAGACCTAGTGTAGCCGCCAACCCCGAACAGACAGACAGACAGACAAACGACAGTCACAAATATATAGATAGATGATATTTTTCTCGAATTCATTGTAGTTTGCATATATTTACCTGACAGTACGCGCTGAACAAGTGGCACCAACTTCACCAGTACATTCTTCACAGCATCCACAATAGGGCATACCACGTTCACAGCCCCCAAATGATGACTCCTCAGGACATTGTACATTGTCACAATTTGGGGTACACGTCGGTAAATTCAGATAACTTCTTCCTTCTGAATAGTGTACAGCGAGTACAACGATGGCGATTAATAAAAGCTTCATTATTCTGCAACAGATATAAAAATTATTTGTTTTCATGAAGGGTATTTTTTTCATAAATGTATGAGGGGTTGGGTGGCCGAATGGTTAACACGTGCGCGTTGCATTATAAGGCCTCTCACAAAGTCATTGGTTTGGATTCCCTGCTTGTACGCGAAAAGGATTAGGGTCACCTGTCCAACCTCGTGGGTTTTCTCTGGGTCTTCCGCTTTCTTACCACGGCTAAAGACCCCTACGCGCAAGCGAATTATTGAAATAAAATTGAACCATATTTTAGTCTCGAAATGACCTAAGTTTGTGTCAAGTGGACGTTAAACCCCCTCTCTCTCAATTCAGATGATTTTAAATTCATTTTGATTTATATTCACTATCTTATAAATAAAATGTAATGGGGTTTAAAATCCTACTTTTCTGCTCCGACTGGGCGGATGAAGACACGCAAACGGCGTGCTACGAGGGAATTTTTGACTGAAGCGGCGCTACGGCCTACTCGAATTCCAACTCCCAATGAATACACGGCGGAAAAACTCCGATGAACTATCTCGGCCAACATCGGGATCGATCACGGGATCTCCAGGTTAGCGAGCCAACCTCTTACTCACTGAGTCACCGCGAACAGAGGCTATAAATTAATTTTGAAATTATAAATTAATTTTTAAATTATAAATTAATTTTGAAATTATAAAATAATTTTGAAATTATAAATTTTGAAATTATAAATTGATTTTGAAATTATAAATTAATTTTGAAATTATAAATTAATTTTGAAATTATAAATTAATTTTGAAATTATAAAATAATTTTGAAATTATAAAATAATTTTGAAATTATAAATTTTGAAATTATAAATTGATTTTGAAATTATAAATTAATTTTGAAATTATAAATTAATTTTGAAATTATATATTAATTTTGAAATTATAAATTAATTTTGAAATTATAAATTAATTTTGAAATTATAAATTAATTTTGAAATTATAAATTAATTTTGAAATTATAAATTTTGAAATTATAAATTAATTTTGAAATTATAAATTAATTTTTATAAATTTTGAAATTATAAATTTTGAAATTATAAATTTTGAAATTATTAATTTTGTAATTATAAATTTTGAAATAATAGATTAATTTTTGAAATAATAAATTGAAGATCAAAGATTAAAATATAAACTTAATTCAAAATGAACTTATAATATTTTGAAATTCAAAATTAAAATTTGAACTTAGTCTTTAGAATTAAAAAGAATTAACTTTAAGACCAAAAATTAAAAATAATAATTGCAAAAAAAACAAAAAACAAACAAGAAATGATTCTTATTTTAGCTTCTGTAGAGTACTAAATTAGTATTCTACTCACCTAGGTATATTTCAGTAGCTGCGACTCCACACTCAATCATCTAATGGAGAGAAAAGAATTCTTCTGTCCTTATATATACTTTAGTACGATATAAATTTAATTTAAAAAAATAATACATTAAGGGTGTATTTTTGTTAATAGCCTTAATGATAGCAATTTGCATCTGATTGTTTGGAAATAAAATTAAATATATTTAATTTCACAATATTAAAATAGTGTTTGCAGTTGTGAAAAATTATAAATGCGTAGGATTGGAGGCGCCTTTTTGTCTCAGTTTAAAGTTTGCAACCCATCAACCATATTGGGTTTCGGTATCATTAAAACGTCAAATGCTATTAAAATAATTATTTATGTGTTAATAGCCATGCAATAACATTTAATGTTATTCATTTCGTCCAGTTTGATGCTGGGTTTACTTATTTTTTGATTGCACAATGATAATATTGCATCAGATCAAAACTAAATTTACAGCTCAAGCGAGGTCACCAATAAATTCGACTGTAATCCCTCTTTCAATATAGCCCTTCGGTTGGGTCTAAATGTTAAGGCCGACAGCAGATTTGGTCAAAGGTTACGAGATGCATACAGGGCTAGTCAGCAATCACCCTATTTACATCTTACGACTTGATGAAATCTATAGTTGTATTAAGATTTTGTATGAAGGGGTAAAAGGTGGCAATTCCCCAATGGTTTATCGGGATTTTCCGACGTGGTTTCCCCTTGTCAGTGGTGCAAGACGGAGGGTCTGACAAGGACAGCTGTCTAGTCGTTCGGATGGCACGACAAACCGAGGTCCCGTGTATACATTTGCGTGCACGTAAAAGATCCATTGGCAGTTGGAATTCGATATAAGAGTAGGCCATAATGCTGCTGCCCGGGCGAAAGTTTCCCTCATAGCACACTGTATGGCGTATGCTCGTCTTCATTATCCCAGTCGAAGCAGAACAGTTGGACGTTAAACCCCATTTCATTTCATTTCACTATCAAACCAAGGATACTGGATACCCAATAACCATCAAGACTCTTCGGTTTTTAAGAGCTTCAGAATTGATTTATTGAATATTTTATTAAATGTATCATAATCCTCATCTTGTTGTCTTATCGGCTAAATATGGGGGATCACGTGGCTAAGTGGGTAAGACGCTGGCTCGCTAGCCTGGAGGTCGGGTGTTCGATCCCTGCATTGGCCGAGAAAGTTCATCCAGATTTTCCAGCGTCAGGAGGGAGGGCCTGACAAGGACAGCTGTCTAGTCGTTCGGATGGGACGAAAAACTTAGGTCCCGTGTACACATTGGCGTGCACGTAAAAGATCCCTTGGCAGTTGGAATTCGATATAAGAGTAGGCCGTAGTGCCGCTGCCCGGGCAAAATTTCCCTCATAGCACACTGTATGGCGTATGCCCGTCTTCATTAGCCCAGTTTAGGAGTAGAACAGTAGGACGTTAAACCCCATTTCATTTCATTTATCGGCTAAAAATTAATGATGTCCAATTGTTATAAATATATTATATATTTCATCTTGTTAATTCCTTATAGTGTTTTATTAAATTATCATAAATCACAAATAAAAACCTCAGAAATGAATTCGGAAATATTATAACAGTAACATACAACAAACCTTTATTGCTAAGAATAGTGATTTTTCTAGAATAACAAGTCGAATTAATAGTAAATGTACGGATTGTCAAACATTGATTATTTTTAGAAAGAATATTTTATCCTGTCATAAATAAAATAAAAATAAAAATGTCACGCAGTTTGAATTTTCCGATTATTAAATTCATCTAATGTTTTAAGGGCAGCAAAAGAAAATGTCAGTAATACCATGGAATATAAGGTCGGTTTGACCAACAGATCGATATTTATATAAACCAATCTGATTAATATACAGATCTATATTTCGTTTCGTTTTTTTTATACTTTCAATGGCCTACACTACATGAAGATCTGACAAGTTGTAGTGATAGGTCGCGTCAGAGGTCATACGAGCGGCTTTTGACCCTATGACGTCAGACATTTGATTAACCAATCAGCATTGATGTTTCTTATGGATTACCCACAGACCGTTTCATTGGTTTATCCCTAACACCATCCAGAACACGTCAATGATAACAACTCTTCCAGATCCTAGTGTAGTAAAGACAAGTAAAACGAAATTTTGATCTATAAAAAAAGGAAACGAAATAGGATCTGTGTTTTAATCAGATTGGTTATAAACATTTCATGGTTACAGTTTCGATATCAAAAAAGATGAGTAGGAGATTTTATTTATCACCCAATTATGTCTTATGGCACATGGGGTTACAGTTTACTTGTATGAGCGACCATACGACAGTATGATTATAAACATTCCGTGGTATGACGTAGCCCATGGCACATGAGGTTAAAGTTTACAAAAATTGCCACGCTTCTTCTTTCAAGGCGCGGGTTTAGATATATTTGTCTTCAACTTTTTTATAAAACACTGTTGTAATAGCTATACAGGATGTTAATCATGTTTTAAAACAGTGGTAAATAAAGATGTTTCAAGAGCAGTTCCTAAACAAATTCCTGAAACAGAAAATAAATAAATTTATCAGGGGAGGAAGATCTATTAATTAGTACATATCAAATCATTGGATATAAACTTAGAATGGGTCTAACCAAAGAGAGAGAGAGAGAGAGAGAGAGAGAGAGAGAGAGAGGGCGGGGTTTAACGTCCACTCGACACAAAATACTTCATTTCGGGATTAACATATGGTTTATTTTTATTTCATTAATTCGCTTGAGCGTGGGGGGTCTTTAGCAGTGGGGGGGGGGGGGGACTAAGGCGCCGGAGAAAACCGACGTGATTGGACAGGCGACCCTATTTCGGGACTAACATATGGTTCAATTTTAATTCAATAATTCTTTTGCCCGTAAGGGTCTATAGATGTGGGGGAAAACTGAGGCCCCGGAGAAAACCGACGTGGTAGGATAGGCGACCCTATTCCTTGTCACGTACAACCTGGGAATCTAAACCACGCCATTTGACTTAATGACATATCTTATGATACAACGCGCACGCGCTAACCATTCGGCCACTACACCCCCATGTTGGTTATAAATGTGTGGTATAAGTATATCGATTATAAAAGTGTGGTATAAGCGTATTGTTTATAAAAGTATGGTATAAGTGAATTGTTTATAAAAGTGTGGTATAAGTGTATTGTTTATAAAAGTGGTATAAGTGTATTTTTAATAAAAGTGTGGTATAAGTGTATTGGTTATAAAAGTGTGGTATAAGTGTGTTGGTTATAAAAGTGTGGTATACGTGTATTGTTTATAAAAGTGTGCTATAAGTGTATGGGTTATAAAAGTGGGGTATAAGTGAGTTGTTTATAAAAGTGTGGTATAAGTCTGTTGGTTATAGATGCATGGTATATTGATTATAAAGGTGTGATATACGAACCTAACGTAATAAATAAAGCTGTAATATTAATACATAGTTCTCTATCAGCTGTGGGATATTTATCACTGTGTAATATCTGATAGAATATATTCACATAGGATGCTCCACCCAACAAACCAACAAATATCATCAACGCGGGTAAAACAGTTACCGGTAGAAACTTCCACTGAAATATTCATCAAATTGAAAATGAGAATTTCACTACTAGCTTAAGTGCTTGATAAAACCAGAGAAACCTAGTAATAAAAATGCTTGGAATCTCCAGTGGTCTCATTCCACTCCACTCCACTAACTCCTGGGATCATCCATGGGAGAGAGGTTGGGGTATAGTGAAGTAGAACGGAATGAGACCACTGGAGATTCCGAGGATCAGTAATAAACAGTAATTGTTATTTCATAGAATTGTGACCTTTGTATTTCAACTTTAATTACTCAATGCCAATAAAAATGAACACGATTACAAGATAAGTGTGAACTTTGTCCATAGAAGGGGAGTGGTATCAGGTGGTTTTGAAATCGGATGTCACTGATCAACCGTCAATACGTATAAGTGAAGGTTAAATATTGAGTAAATCTTTTAGACAATCCTTTAGAATCATGTTTGAGAAATACATTTTTAACGTAGTGTGGACAAGAAGGAAATCGTGTCATGGTTAACGGTGATGGTATTTGACTAAGCAAAGATAGGGGTTATATACTTACCCTTTCACAGTTTACATGCATAGTAGTGACGGTTTTCGTGTATGGAGCAGTGCATTATTACGCTTACATAATTTACGTGCATAGTAGTGACCGGTCTCGTATATGAGGTAGAGGATGCTGGTTGTTTCATAGTTTAGTAGTGATTATTCTCGTGTACAAGCAGAGGATGGTGGCGCTGTCATTGTACATGCATAGTAGTGACGGGTATCGTGTACGAGGTACCATAGACTTGCTCTTTCTTAGTGAACTTAATGATTCTCGCGCACAGGCAGTGGCGGGCTCGTCATATGGGACGCTAACGTGTACACAGGACTTCGGTCTTTCGTTCCATCTCAACGACTAGACAGCTGTCAGTTCGGTGGAGATAGGACAATGAAATGAAATGAAATGGGATTTAACTTCCTATTGCTCTGCTCCGGTTGGGATAGTGAAGACGGGCATACGCCATACAGTGTGCTATGAGGGGAAGTTTTGCCCAGGCAGCAGCACTATAGCCTACTCTTATATCGAATTGCAACTGCCAAGGGATCTTTTACATACACGTCAATGTGTATACGGGATCTCGGTTTTTCGTCCCCCGCGAACGATTAGACAACTATCTTCGTCTGGCACCACAGTAGGTCAAAGAACAATTAAATATATTTACATAGTTGTTTAATAGGAATAGGGCGGTGTTTGTGTGATGTGGTGTAGGGGTGTTGGGGTGGAACGCCACAGAAATAAATGTCAAGAAACTTACATGGACATCAAATATCCATAAAATCATATTAATAAGTTGTAGAAGTGTTAAAACATATACACGTTTTATGGTAAACATCTGAACTGATGATCGGGATACAAACACGCCGGCCTGAAATTATACAGGTTTAATATTAAGGACGAAAGTCGAAAATAAATAAAGGATAAGCTTAAGACAAGAGAAAGAGAGAGAGAGGGTGGGGGGGGTTAACGTCCACTCGACACAAACTAGGTCATAACGGAACTAACACATGGTTCAATTTTATTTTAATAATTCGCTTGCGCTTAGGGGTCTTGAGCAGTGGGAGGAAACCGGAGAAAACCCACCAGGTTTGACAGGCGACCCTACTCCTTTTCACGTATAACCAGGGAATCGAAACCCCGCCAGTTGCCTCAATGACAGACCGTATGATACAGAGCGCACGTGCTAAGCATTCGGCCATTCCCCCCCCCCCTCCCAATCTTAAGACAAGTGTCCTCGTAATAAATATATACCCGAAAGAATGCGTCATACTTTTCAAACACAATTTCATATTTTGAAAATTTGTGTGAGCGTAGTTTGTTATTTTAATAATTTCCGTAGACGTTCGTGTGACTGGCTATCTTGGGGTTTTATGCCAATCTGGGGATCACGTGGCTAAGTGGGTAAGATGCTAGCTCGCTAGCCTGGAGGTCGGGTGTTCGATCCCTGCACTGGCCGAGAAAGTTCATCCAGATTTTCCGGCGTGGTTTCCCTTGTCAGTGATGCAGGACGGAGGGCCTGACAAGGAAAGCTGTCTAGTCGTTCGGATGGGACGAAAAACCGAGGTCCCGTGTACACATTGGCGTGCACGTAAAAGATCCCTTGGCAGTTGGAATTCGATATAAGAGTAGGCCGTAGTGCCGCTGTCCGGGCAAAATTTCCCTCATAGCACACTGTATGGCGTATGCCCGTCTTCATTAGCCCAGGTTAGGAGGAGCAGAACAGTAGGACGTTAAACTCCATTTCATTTCATTTCATTTCATTTTATGCCAATCTGAACGAACGACAGACCCACCCTACCTGCAGAGAAGTGACTCTGACACAGTGAATAGCCATGGTAATATGACGTTATCTAGCTACCATTTATTTTTCGAACGTTAGTTACGTACAGTTTTATGCGTGTCAGGAAAGTTTGAACTCTAACCTCTAGGTTTACATGGTAAAGGCCATAGTCATGTGTTATTGTAGAGTTATCTATTAGCTTTCTATACCCTAACCCCACTCCATTACATGTATACTAATGTCAATCCGATATTGCAAACCAGTGTACAGTTATTACAAGTCCATTGTTAACACATTTACTGAATGAAATTACAGGCGCGCGAGAGAAAAGTGTGGTTTAAGTTCCAATCAATACAAACTATGTCATTTTGGGCTAACATCTGGTTCGATTTTATTTCAATATTTCGCCTGTGCGTAGGGATAATTAGCATTGTGAGGCGACCAGAGGGCGCGGAGAAAAAACTTGAGGTTATGCACACGACCCTAGTTATTGTCACGTACAATACAAGTGAGGGATCGAAACTCGCCACTTGAATCAATGGCAGACCTGATGATTTAAGGCGCGCGCGTTAAACCATTCACACACCCAACCCCCATTTATTGATCATAAGTTAACAATGCGTGCATTGTTTTAGATAAAACGGGGGATCACGTGGCTAAGTGGGTAAGACGCTGGCTCGCTAGCCTGGAGGTCGGGTGTTCGATCCATGCATTGTCTGAGAAAGTTCATCCAGATTTTCCGGCGTGGTTCTCCCTTGTCATTTTTTTTAGATAAAACGTATCTTGCTTAATACCTGGTAACATAACTGTAAAGCAGCATAAAGTTCTGGGCAACCCACGTGATATTCGGATTTATGTCTCACTTTAGCCGCACACCCTCTTGCGACATATTCAAATACATACACGGCACACAACTAAAACAAAAAGATCCGAATATATAGCAGCATATAGCTAAATCAAACATCCGAAATATATAACAGCACATAACTAAAAACAGTTTCAAAGAAATACACAACGCATAGCTAAAACACAAATATACACACATCACCAAGCTAAAATAAACATATCCAAATATATATACACAGCAGCTAAAATAAACAAAGATATACACAACACATAGCTAAAAATACAAATATATCCACAACATAGCTAAAAATACAAATCTATCCATAACATAGCTAAAAATACACCAATATATACAAGAGATAGTTAAAAAATACAACTATATACACCACACAAAGCTAAAAATACAACTATATACATCACACAAAGCTAATAAATATAACTATATTCACAACACATAGCTAAAATGAAATGTTGTTTAATGGCACGTCAGCTCCAACCGGGCTATATTGCGCCAAACATATGTTGAATCTAACGAGACAAATTAAAACAATATCACATAATTGAATTTATATATGTAAATAAAAACAAATATCACAGAAAATATATGTAATTAAAAATAAATATAACAAATCTTTTACATATATAAATATTTAAAACGATATACATGATTAAATATATACAATTAAAATTGAGAATAAAAGTTTGTCTCTTTTAAAAATGTTAGCACTTTATCATATAACTCCGGTTGAGCAAATAGCTGACGTAATGACTGGCAACGGTAGTATTTAGATCTAATATATTTGAGATGTTTGCACTCAATCAAGATGTGTCTCACTGTCAAAGGAACATGACAGTGAACACATTCCGGTTAAGGCTCTCGCTTCAAAATGAAAATATGAGTTAAAAAAGTATGACCAATGCGAGAGCGACACAAAACAACTTCATCTCTCCTGTTAGACCTGTAGGAGCTTAGCCATTCTCCAAGGAGACGCTTTATGTGATGAAGTTTGTTTGTGCCTGCAAGATCCCAAGACCGTTGCCAGCGGTCATAAATAAAATTATTTATACAGGATTTAAAATCCGTGTATGGCGTTAAAAATTCGAATAAGGGAAGATCTAAGGCAGACTTGGCAGCCAAATCTGCTTGATCATTCCCTTTTATATCCATGTGACTGGGGAGCCAGCAAAGGACAATGTCCTTGCTGATGAACTCGTTTGATAGTAACAGACCATAAATGTCTGCTACTAATGGGTGTTCAAGCTGTTTATTATTTATTGCTTGTAGTGACAACACATAGCTAAAAAAAAATACAAATATATTCACATAAAGCTATAAAAACAAATATATTGACATCACATAGCTACAAATAGAAATATATTCCCAACACAGTTACGCACCACACATAGCTAAAAATACAAATTTATTCACAACACATAGCTAAAAATACAAAAAAAATATTCACAAAACATAGCTAAATTATACAAATATATAAATCAATAATAGCTGATATCTTACGTTAAATCCCATCCATAATATAAGTTTTAAACATCTCCATATTCTCTGACATGATGATTCTACATCATACTCACCATTAATCTCATAATCTGAAACTAAACATTGACATTTATACAGAAATCATAATAATGCTCTAACATGACTGAAATTATAATAAAATATTTTCCATAAACTGACTACCGAATTTGCCCAGTCGACTCTAAATTATGGCTACTCGTTATGGTTGATTGAGCTTGACTTTTATTCTTTTTACCCTAATCACGCGAAACACTAACTTAATCAAATGAATGTTCGAGGGAGAAAGGTGCATCTGTCGTTATTTAATGTTAACTGGGTGTTACATATAGAAATATACAAGATCGTTATTTGGATGTTCCATAAAGAACAAGCGTCTGACATTACGTGTCACTAATTGGATGTCCATAAGGAACAAGAACCTGTCATTACTTATAGCTAATTGGATGTTCCAGAAAGAACAAGAATGGAATGATCCAAGAAGGACCAGCATCCGCCGTTACTTATAGCCACTCGGATGTTTCAAAAAGAACAAGCATCTGCCGTTACGTGTCGTTAATTGGATGTTTCAGAGAGGAGAGAACAAGCAGCTATCGCTACTTTTCGCTATTTGGATGTTCCAGAGAGAACAATCATCTGTCGTTAATTCTCGCAAACGGAATGTTCCAGTACATGCCGTTATGAATCGCTAACTGGATGTTCCAGAGAGAAAAAACACCTGCCATTCCTTATTACTAATAAAAGTCAATTTCAGAACACTTAACCCTATTTGTTGCATCTCATATATATTAAAGATATCATAATGTAATGAAACAAACCGTTTTCTAATATTGGTGTCCTTTCGCTATCTTCTTCATTATTAACAAATATTTCTACTGGCTGTTCTTTCTCCGTCTTTATAACAATAAAATAAGCTAACCAGTAGACTAGAACAACGGGTGTTGTTAATAAGAATGCGTATCTGAAGTAAACAACATTATAAATCTATATTTATATATATACATGTTGCAATGCACGAAAATCTCGGTCTGCAATGACTTGAAATGAAATGAACTGGGGTATAACGTCCTATTGTTCGGCGCCGACGAGTCTTCAAAGTGGGAGAGAGAGAGAGGGGGGGGGTAACGTCCGCTCGACACAAAGTAGTTCATTTCGGGACTAACATATGGTTCAATTTTATTTCAGGCGACCCTATTCCTTGTCACGTACAACTGGGGAATCGAAACCAGGAAGTAACATTTGGAAGTTTTCAGACTTAAAACTAAATTAAGGAATATTACTTGGTGAGTGTATGTAGATCCTTCGTTTTATCTTCTCCGTTACCAACACTACAACCTGAATGAAATACAGAAGAAATGAAAAACTATAATGAAATATATAATTATACAACCAAAGATAGTTTTGTAAATTTTATTATGATGTCAACCTTCTAAGAATGTCTGTCCAACCTCGTGGGTTTTCTCCGGGTTCTCCGGTTTCCTCCCACTGCTAAAGACCCCTACGCGCAAGCGAATTATTGAAATAAAATTAAACTATATGTTAGTCCTGAAATGACCTAGTTTGTGTCGAGTGGACGTTAAATCCCATTTCTCTCGCTCTCCCTTCTAAGAATGTAATCATCTACCATTGAAAAAAGTAAGGTATGTTTTACCCTTTTCTTAAAGTATTGCATGACTTACTACTTACTAATTGTGTTCAATTGCGCTACATTTCTTATTTCTTAACTTCTGGTGAAACCATATGGATTAAGACCAGTAATTTCCTCCACCTTGACTTCAATGTTCATTCTATGACATTTTTGGACTTATAACAATTTGAACAATCCGATGATCTTAACCTTTATAACCACAACATTCTAAATCTGATTAAATCACAGATCCTATTTTGTTTCGTTTTTTATAGTTCAAAATTTTGGTTTACTTGTCTTTACTACACTAGGATCTGGAATAGTTGTTATATGACAGGCGTGAGGGATTAGCCAATGAAACCATCTGTTACGGCGATGTCTTGGCGTGCCATGCACGGAATTGTGGGTAAACCACTAGAAACGTCAACGCTGATTGATTTAGGGTCAAAAGCCGCTCGTGCGACCCCTGACGCGACCTTCCAGTACAACAGGTCAGATCTTCATGCAATGTAGTGTAGGTCATCGAAAGTATAAAAAAACGAAACGAAATATAGATCTGTCTTTTAATCAGATTGCAACATTCCCTGCCAGAAATAATTTTACGTTCCGACATTAGTTTTAACTGTTCAAGCAAACCTAAAGCCAAGCCCACAACCCTCAGTGTGCGTGCTACCACGGGCAGTCTACGGGGGAAATTTAGTAAGCATGTTGATACTTACGCGTCACATGCGTGTGTTCGGCACCGTAGAAAGTCGCAGACTGACCGTAGAGACTTTTGGACCTGCATATACAAATTTTTACCCTGATTCTTGCTACCAAACCCAACGACCCGTGCGTGTCAAAACATGTACGATGTGTTGCGAGCTATCCTTACGATTGTTTACTTTATCCCGGCAGAACAGGGGGATAGTAAATCCCAATTCATTAGTAAGTTTTTAATCTGGTGCAGTATTTTATAGATACCAAACCAATCCCAATACATTCATTAGTAACGATTTAACCTGGCGCAGTTATTTATAGATATCAAGAGAGGGAGAGAGAAATGGGGTTTAACGTTCACTCGTCAAAAACTAGGTCATTTCGGGACTAACACATGGTTTCAATTTTATTTCAATAATTCGCTTGCGCGTAGGGGTCTTTAGCAGTGACAGGAAACTGGAGGACCCGTAGAAAACCCACGAGGTTGGACAGGCGACCCTATTCCTTGTCACGTACAACCGGGGAATCGAAACCACAACAGTTGACTCAATGACAGCGGACGTGCTAACCATTCGGCCATCTACCTCCCCCCCCTCTTATAGATAGATATCCATTAGTAGTAATTGTTTAACCTGGTGCTGTATTTTATAGATATCAAACCAATTCATTAGTAAGTGTTTAACCTGGTGTTGTATTTTATAGATATCAAACCAATTCATTAGTAAGTGTTTAACCTGGTGTTGTATTTTATAGATATCAAACCAATTCATTAGTAAGTGTTTAACCTGGTGTTGTATTTTATAGATATCAAACCAATTCATTAGTAAGTGTTTAACCTGGTGTTGTATTTTATAGATATCAAACCAATTCATTAGTAAGTGTTTAACCTGGTGTTGTATTTTATAGATATCAAACCAATTCATTAGTAAGTGTTTAACCTGGTGTTGTATTTTATAGATATCAAACCAATTCATTAGTAAGTGTTTAACCTGGTGCTGTATTTTATAGATATCAAACCAATTCATTAGTAAGTGTTTAACCTGGTGCTGTATTTTATAGATATCAAACCAATTCATTAGTAAGTGTTTAACCTGGTGCTGTATTTTATAGATATCAAACCAATTCATTAGTAAGTGTTTAACCTGGTGCAGTATTTTATAGATATCAAACCAATTCATTAGTAATTAGTTAACCTGGTGCAGTATTTTATAGATATCAAACCAATCTTACCAAATATAATATAAATAGTAGAACCCAGGAGACCCGCCATTCCTGTTCCACTTGACCATGCATTCACAAGATGACTGGGGAATTTGGACAGAAAACCCAGAGTAACACTGAAAAATTATATAAAAAACAATATTTTGAAATGCAGCTCTTTTCTTTCGAATAGAGGATTTATAAGTCAAATCCTAATAAATTATGAAATGAATGGCATAGGGTTTAACGTCCTGTTTTGGTGGCCACGATGGCTAAGTGGGTAAGGCGCTCACGCGCTAGCCTGGAGGTCACGGGTTCGCTTCCGGTGTTGGCCGAGATGTTCATCGGGAACTTCCGGCGTGGTTTTTCTTTGTCTGTAGTGCAGGACGGAGGGACTGACAAGGACATTTGTGTAGTCCTTCGGATGCCACGAAAAATCGAGGCCCCGTGTATGTATTGACGTGCACGTTAAAGATTCCTTATCAGTTGGAATTCGATATAAGAGTAGGCCGTAGTGCCACTGTCCTGGCTAAATTTCCCTCGTAGCGCACTATGGCGTATCTCCGTCTTCATTAGCCCAGTGTTAGCAGACCAGTAGGACGTTAAACCCCATTTCATTTCATTTCATTTTCAACTGGGCAAATGACGACGGGCATACGTTATGTAGTGTGCTACATCGAAATTCCAACTGTCAAGGGGTATTTTACGTGCACACCAACGTGTACACGGGGTCTCTGACCCCTGACCCCTGACCCGACCGAACGACTAGACATTATACTCATCATTATACTATACAGTTTACCCTTCAGAGAGAGAGAGAGAGAGAGAGAGAGAGAGAGAGAGAGAGAGAGAGAGAAATGGGGTTTAACGTCCACTCCACACAAACTAGGTCATTTCGGGACTAACATATGGTTTAATTTTATTTACATAATTCGCTTGCGCGTAGGGCTCTTTAGCAGTGGGAGGAAACCGGAGGACCCGGAGAAAACCCACGAGGTTGGACAGGCGACCCTAGAGAGAGAGAGAGAGAGAGAGGGGGGGTCGCCTGTCTAACCTCGTGGGCTTTCTCCGGATCCTTGGGTTTCTTCCCACTGCAAAAGACCCCTACGCGCAAGCGAATTATTGAACTAATATATATCCATGTGTTAGTCCAGAAATGACTTTGTTAAATGTCGAGTGGACGTTATAAACCCCATTTCTCTATAATGATATCTGGATTTCTGATTAAAGGACAATATTGGTGCCAGTCATTATCACAGTCTCACACAACAACTTTTGGTCTTCGAAGGAATTATTAGTGAACAGAAATTCGGCCGTGTATCTGTTATCGTGTTTTCCTTTGGCGTTCGTCACTTCCGATTCAGGAAACCTGTATTACTCAGCTAATGTGTTTAACCATCTCTATCACATATGTGATAATGACTGGCACCAATATTGTCCTTTAAAGTGGTATTGAATCCACAGCAAAGATATATCTATTCGCTTATATGATTATATCACTTACTTTTCACCGAATGCTGCACTGCTCCCCACAACAACCTATTTAAAATAATATATATGTGATAACTGAAACCTAAATTCGTGTAATAATATTAATATCGCTGTAACAATATTTTGTCGTTGACTAATTACTGGTTCCAACTTCATAAACAAGAAACATAGTACGTAAATCAACGGAAATGTGTGGCAACTTGATACCACGTGACTTCTTCATCGTCAACCATACATCATATCCTCTCTTATTTACGAAACTGCACCAACATAGGTGGAATGTATTTTGTTGACCAAATTAGGTAATACTCCCTGCCGGTATGCAAGGTATGGGGCATGTTTATACCATATTTGGGATTTAGTACTTTGGTCAGTCTATGACGTAAAGCAGTTAGGGGTGTAGGCATCTATAAAAGAGATTAAGGCGGTCACCCTCAAGTAAATGAAGTGTACACTTCCTCTGAAGTGTTCATTTCTAACATATTTCTCACTTTAGAAACACTTCCAAAGACACTTCGGTTGAAGTGTTTACTAAACTTCACCTAAGTGTTCACTTCACCGACACTTCTAAAAGATTGTCTGTTTCGACCGCATTTCATTTCGTTGTCATTTTCAAACCGAGATCCATTCTTCGAGGAGTCACGATGGGGCAGCGTGTAAGGGGCTTTACCATAACCAGTTCGATCCCTTTGTTGATCAAGAAAATCCTTTGAAGTTTTCCAGCTGGCAAAGGAACAACTGGTAATCGTTTGGACCCACATACACCCCGCAGTGTCGAATTAAAACAAGACCTTGACGGTTGGAATTCGATGAAGATTTGGCGGAAACGTCTCTGTCCGGACAAAAATCCCCTCGTGTCTCATTAGCCCGGTTGTTAAGGTTGTTTACCAAACAAATAAAATAATTGTACTCACAATACAGGCCAGAGCAAACCAAAAATTAGAAGCAAAAGCAACACCGAACAATCCTTAAACCATATAAATATGAAAATAGAATATAGACAAATAAATACAAATACCGTTTGTACGTGACAAGGAGTAGGCTAGTCTATCCAACCTCGTTGGTTTCCTTCTGGTCCTCAGGTTTCCTACCACTGCTACAGACCCCTACGCACAAGCGATTAATTGAAATAAAATTGAACCATACGTTAGTCCCGAAATGACCTAGTTTGTGTCGAGCGGACGTTAAACCCCATCTCTCTCTCTCTCTCTCTCTTTGTCTCTCTCCCAATTCGGGATTAACAATTAACATGGTATATTTATTACAAATGTATGCATTGGCTTTTGGAAGTTGGGAATCTCAGGGAAAACCCATGATGTTAGCATTGCGGCTTTATCCTGTCCGGGATTGAACCCCACGGGAAACTGACCTTGTGGTCTACAGCGCATGGTTAACAGACTAGTTAGAAGGGCGTGGTTATTTGTATTACACGTATAACAGACTAGGGGCAGGGCGGGTTTATGTGTATTATTTATTTAACAGACTAGGGGAAGGGCGGGGTTATTTGTATTATACGTATAACAGACCAGGGGAAGGGCGGGGTTATTTGTATTATACGTATAACAGACCAGGGGAAGGGCGGGGTTATTTGTATTATACGTATAACAGACCAGGGGAAGGGCGGGGTTATTTGTATTACACGTATAACAGACTAGGGGAAGAGCGGGGTTATATATATATATATATACATAACAGACTAAGGGGAGAGTGGAGTGGGTGGGTGGGGATTTTTATTCCATATTAGGGGGTGGGCGGAGTTATATTTATTATTTTCAACACATTGAATAAATTACCGATTAACATGAGGCATCCATTGACGATAAATCTGATTTTAAATGACGTCTTCAATAATACAAACGTATTTAAAGCTGAAAGAGAAACACAAATACTTAAAAATGATTGTTTATAAAATGAAATGGGGTTTAACGTCCTACTGTTCTGCTCCGACTAGGCTAATGAAGAGGGGCATATGTAAAACAGTGTAATACGGGGGAAATTTTTCAAGGGCAGCGGCACTTTGGTCTACTCTTATATCGAATTCCAACTGCCAAGGGATCTTTTACGTGGACGTCAATGTATACACGCGACCTCGCTAGTTCGGATGATGCGAAAAACCGAGGTCCCATGTACACATTGGCGTGCACGTAAAAGAACCTTTGAATATTGGAATTCGAAATAAGAGTAGGCCGTACTGCCGCTGTCCGGCAAAATTTCCTTCATCGCACACTGTATGGCGCATGCTCGTCTTCATCGAAATAAGAGTGGGCAGTGCTGCTGCGGTCCGGGAAAAAAATTCCCTCATAGCACACTGTATGGCACATGTCCGTCTTCATTAGCCCAATCGGTGCAGAACAGTAGGACATTAAACCCCGTTTTATTTTATTTCAATGAAATAATATCTTGAATCTAAGGAAAATATTTATGACTCCATGGTAGTCCCCAGTTTAATGGTAATTACAATATTCCTTCAGCAAGGACGAACAAGGCTTATAAACCATATATTTCGAAACGTTAATTCTACATTAAATGGCAGTTTCAAAATTTGATATTTAATTTAGACTAATTCATAAGTTCTATTATATTCGTTTACTGTAAAATAAAAATAATGATTACCTTTGACTAAAACAGCTAGAGCTACATTAGCAGCAAATACCAAACCAACAAAATTCGATTTACCAAAACTAGAAATGGAATAATATAAATCCTTATTTTATGATCAGTAGTGGAATACCGCGTTTTATCAGTGAAATAAAAGTGTTATTCCACTGGCTAGCAGTAGTGCATGTTGTTTTTACCTAAAATGATTGTAAAATCATAAAATAAATAGAACATTTGTCGTTTTGTCGTGAATAATATGTTTTATTTCATCTCTAAGCAAGAAAACGTTTATATTTTCACGAATGCTTCTCGATGAAATAAAATATGTTATTCACTCTAAAACGACAAATATCCTCTATATATTATAACATTAGTGAGACACCACTAAACTCTAACAGAGGTGGGAGCCACGGTAGCCTGGGGGTCGGGTGTTCGATTTCCTGCATTGGCCGAGAAAAATTCATCGGGATTTTCCGACGTGGTTTCCCCTTGTCAGTGGTGCATGCACGTAAAAGATCCCTTGACAGTTGGAATTCGATATAAGAGTAGACGATAGCGCCGCTGTCCGGGCAAAATTTCCCTCATAGCAAACTGTATGGCGTATGCCCGTCTTCATTAGCCCAGTTCGGAGCAGAACAGTAGGATGTTAAACCCCATTTCATTTATACACTGTAAAACTTTTTCCGTAAAATTTACGGACAAATGGCTGGCAGCTAGGTTGCCAACCAATGTACGTAAAAATTACGACACACCGTAAATATATTTTTACGAACATGTCGTAAAAATTACGTCCAAAGATTGGCAACCTAGCTGCCAGCCATTTGTTCGTAAATTTTACGGAAAATGTTTTACAGCTGTAAAAAACTTATGGTATGATAAGCATCAAAAAGACATTTACTTAAGATTTAAAACAGAATTTAATTATTCAAAACAATATAAGATACAATTAATTCCTCAAAAATGCTTTTACATGATAGTTTAAGATATAATAAAAGACCTGAAAATACTGGAAATTGGAGATTACTGTCAGTAAGTAAAGCTAACAACTGCCTTAAAAAAAAAAAAACCTGTCAACCACAAATTCATATTTTTAACACATTTGATCAAGAGCAGATTTGATATTACAATATGGAGAATGTTTAGAGATCTAACATATTCTTTGGCTGTCAAGCAGTTTGGTGGTATACTTCAACAAAAACAAAGCTCCTTTCATAATTCTTCATTAATAATAATGAACATTTGTACATGGAATAGTGACGACTTTAAAAAAAAAAAAGAGAATTTGTTGCCCTATTAACAAGGGAAATAACTCTCCAAAATATTTATCAAGTTCTCACAAGACAAGCAAACAAAAATTCCCAGCAATTAAAAAATGTATGTGAAAATTTACATGGATGTATCAAATAATGGGTAGCAACAAAATATAAATTTAACAATAATGAAATTATCCATTCAAATTCTTGTACATGTAACATTTACATTATAATATTCAAATGAATTTTTTTTATAGTAGAACAACAACATTCTGAATCTATTCTACAAATATATAATCAGTGTGTTACAATAGAATTATCCTCAAATCTTTTTCTAAAATCTTAACCAAGGTGTTGTAATATTTACCTCAAATCTATTATTTAAAACATCAACAACATGAAAGTAAATTATAACAGTAAAACATGATCTAATGAAATAATGAAATCATTCAAATTTTTGGAATTAATGAATTTGCATTCTAAATGTTTAAATGAACAATTTAAAATCTAACAATTATTGAACCCCAAAAGTATCATGACTTTAAAACAAGAACAGCATCAATGCAGAATTCCTATTATTCCACCTTAAATGTACAGCTTGTTTCAATGATTAGCTTAATCTCTGTTTGAAAATGTATATCATTAAATTTTCCACAATAACTCTGCCTAAGCATGTACATTCCTTAGTGAGAATGGCATAAATTGATTCAGTCTCGTAGATAAAAATTTAGATGGAACTCGACTACTGACAAAGTTAATGAACCAGTCCCAAAATGAAATGTGTAGATGAGAGTTACACAATTTTAATGTTTATGCAACACGGCCGCATATTTAGAGACAAAATGAACTGAGGAAAATTTTTCAAATGTACCAAATTGTTGATGGACAAATTAAATGACCAAAAGATTTTTCCATTAAAGTAAACGGACATCTTATCAAAAGTACAATAAGAAGATCAAGTTTAATTAAGAAGATTCATTAAAAAGATTTCTTGCAGTGCGTTTAAAGTCTCATTTACAAAGTATCACTCATAAAAGGGTTGTGGCTCGGTCCCTTATCACCTATTTTATACACACTATGTGCTGGTGTATAAAAACTAACCATAAACTCAATAGGCCTATCCCTAAAGTTTGCATGCATGAACATTATTGCATCATAGGTTGCAACGATACATATCACAGTATTTCTTCTTGGACGTGTTTCCAGCTCCCTAGCCACTGCTTTTCCATCTGACGTTTTTGATTCAAAATGTTCCTATATCCGTGATTTGTGGTTCGCCGGAGGGGAATGTACTTTCAGCGGGACACATGTTTCATTGCCGAAAGCCATCTTTTCTCCTTCTTGTCACATGAACTACAGGGGAGTATTCTGCATCGGATGAAAATGGACAGTTAAAATATCTGTACCATGTTAACCAAACCGTGGTCCAGAATTTAAAGCACCTTGAACCAAAATGTGGCATCTATACCGTCGTATACCTTCTCACAGTACCGGTATATTGTTGCTATTGTTGTAACTGTACTTCGTCCATTTAAAGTTTGACAGTTTAGTGATTAGTTATACCACTTTTTGGCACACTCGAGTCTTCCTCTTTTTCATGATTTCTGTGCGTTATCTGGGTTAATTTCAAAAATGCACCTGCAAAACAAATATTCTCAATCAGGTTGTTTCTTATGACATCCATTTCAAAAGAACACATTTTAATTAAGGAAAAGGGAGCTAAATGTGCGAGAAAATGAAGTTTCATGTCCACAAACAGGAGACTAAAGAGAGAGAGAGAGAAATGGGGTTTAACGTCCACTCGACACAAACTAGGTCATTTCAGGACTAACATATGGTTTTAATTTTATCTCAATAATTCGCTTGCGCGTAGGGGTCTTTAGCAGTGGGAGGAAACCGGAGGACCCGGAGAAAAACCCACGAGGTTGGACAGGCGACCCTACTCCTTGCCACGTACAACCGGGGATTCGAAACCACGCCAGTTGACTCAATGACAGACTTTATGGTACAGCGCGCACGTGCTAACCATTCAGCCATCCAACCCCCCCAGCAGACTAAACATATCACAAATACTATCAGTGTATACTGGAATAACCAGACTGCCATTCAATTTGGACATATTTCGCCGAGCATAACTGATTACAAATTACACTAAAAACAGAAACGACTGAATGTAAATCAGTTTATAGACATTCATAATAGATTATTATCGTTGCGACCCATTGTGTTCATTTCTCGGGGCCAAAGAATACAGATTTAGCTCCTTTAAGTTAGGTTGAACTTTTCTGATCATGATTCATATTGGTAGTAGCTGTAACTAACGTAACACCCATTGCTTTCCGGGTTAAAACCCATGCTTTCTTCTATCGTTACCGCATCTTGGGTTTCTGATCAGATTTTTGGACTAAGCAGTGGCGACTCTGCACCTATGACAGGTAAATCTAAAAGCAGACTAAAATAGGATTCACCTGTTGCTAATAAGACCTACCCCAAGGTTCAAGCTGGGAGAGAGAAATGGGATTTAACATCCACACACAACACGAACTAGGTCATTTTTGGACTAATAAACATAGAATTTTATTTCAATAATCGCTTTAACCGTAGGTCTTTTATAAACAGTGGGAGGAAAACGAACGACCCAGAAAAATGAACACGGTTAGTCAGGCAATCTTACTCCTTTCAACGCCACTTGACTCAAAGACATAGGCTTCATTCTGACCTAACTAAGGCCCATGTTAGACCATGGATCTTATATAAGCTCCATGGTTAGACCATTCGTCCAACCACCCCTCAAATTTCAAGGTCCAAGCAGTGGGCAGGAAGTGTTGGTTTTCATTAACAATGCGCTCAACTCCCAAAATTATTATCTTCAGTAAGTTCAATCTTATAATTTTTCTTTACCGGTAGGGCCTACCTTTGAAAAAATTTTACTAACCCAGAGAAAGGCTGGGTAGCCCACTCTATAGATGACAGGAATGACACTCAAGGATGCAATAAGCTGTGCCTAAAAAAATTAGTAAAATAAAAAATTAAAGATCATTATCCAGACAATGCATTGACAATTCAATAAATTCTTAATAATGGTTTTCAGTGGTAGGCCTAGCCTACAGACCTGAGACTATGAACTTAATGAAGCCCAGAAATGTTAGCCCTTCATAGTTCATATATTTTTTTTCTATATCAATGTTATTATTATGTCATCCGAGTAGCCTCAACTAGAACTGAAGCCTCCAAAAACAATGCGAAAAAATATTAGGCCTAGCACTAACACCAGAGTGTATTTTTACTCTGTGCTAACACTAACACTGTGACAGTGTATGTGAGTATCATGTATGTCCATTTGTCTAGAAGTAGAAGAGTCTATTCCTACTATTTCATAAATCAGTTACCGTACATTTTTACGAATGCTAAGAATCAATCTATGTCAAACAAAGATGTGTCCCTACTGTATACTTACCTAAAACTGCAATGTTTGGTATTGACTGTAGTGTTCAACTATTGTGCTCGATGTTGAGGGATTCCTCTTTGCCGCTAACTAACGGTCTTCGCAGTAATGGCGCCCAGGAAGACCGATGACGTCACTTTAATTTAAACACCCGTATGTCATATTTACGGACGAAATTCTGTATTTCTTAAATATTAACAGACTCGTGTCTGTAATCAGGATAACAGACCTGCGCTGTAGGCGTTTTACAGAAACAAGTCTGTAAAAATTACAGAAAAGGCTTACAGTGTAGAACTAAACTACATCCTGTATATTTTTATAAGATCTGGTGTTGTTACATATGTTTATTTGAGATTATTTCTGTCGTGCACCAAACCTAAACTTTAAAATAATTTAAGAAAAGTAGCATTTTCAATCGCGAGGAGCTAAAATTAAAATTTGTGCTTTAATTTGGCATTCAGCACATCCATGTACTTCATACTTCGAGAATAGATCTCTGCCCTAAATGGTCGCCATATCTAAAAAAAAAAATAGTATCCTGTTTTGTAATGCGGTTCTAGTCCGTTTCACTCTGTCCTACACACAGAGATTAAATAAAACGTTTTTCAATTTTATTGGATGGAAGCAGAATGAATATGTCGGTCAACTATAGCTTATTGTCTGTTCTCAAGCTGAGCTAACTGTAGAAGGCAGCCTAAGTTTAGTATTTTAGTTTTCATTTACATGGACAGGAAAATATGTAGACACGTTCAAATAAAAAGAATATGCGGGATTATCTTAGGGATATGTCATATGGGTCTAGGCATTCGAATGGGGTGTTAAACTGATATACAATTTGCTTGGGGGTAGTGGTCTTTAGCGGTGCGAGGAAAACGGAGGACCCGAAGAAAACCCTCGAGGTTAAACAAGCGACCCTACTCCTTGTCACTTAACCAGAGAATCGAAATCACGCCAGTTGAATAAATGACAGACCTTATGATTCAACGCGCACTATAAAAAACGATACGAAATGGGAACCTGTGTTTTAATCAAATTGAGTATAGATGTAATTAAAAGTAATGAAAAATAACCCTACCTATCTGCTATCGTACTGGCTGCTGAATTTACTATAACATACGGTAAATTGTTGATGGTTCCCAGTAGAAATAACCCGAGCTGTAATATAAAACAAATTCACAAGTTGTTTGTATTACAAAAACATATACGAACTTCGATTTTGTTAAACGAATACCGTCTTCATTAGCCCATAGTCGTTTGGATGGGACGAAAAGACCGAGGTCTCGTGTATACATTGGTGTGCACGCAAAAGATCCCTTGGTAGTTGGATTTCGATATAAGAGTAGGCCTGGGAAAAATTTCCGTCATAGCACACTGTATGGCGTATGCCCGTCTTCATTAGCCCAACTGGAGCAGAACAGTAGGACGTTAAACCCCATTCACCTCATTTCATTTCATTAGCCCAATCGGTGCTGAAAATTAGGAATTTAAAACCCCATTTCATTTCGTTAAACGAACAATGCGACATTCTTGAAATGAAATGGGGTTTAAAGTCCTACTTCTCTACGTCCACTGGGCTAATTAAGATCGGCATACACATTTTGAGCCATGAGAAAAATTGTGCCCACTCGTTACAAACTAGATCATTTAGGGACAGGCATATAGTTCAATTTTATTTCAATAATTCGCTTGCGCGCAGGGGTCTTTAGGAGTGGGAAGAAAACGGAGGAAAACGGAGGACCCGGGGAAAACCCACGAGGTTGGAAAGGCAACCCTACTCCTTGTCACATACAACCGGGGAATCGAAACATCGCCACTTGACTCAATGACAGGCCTTATGATGCAACGCGCACGCGTTAACCACTAGACCATCCAACCCCCTGACATTATGATACGTTTACTGTATGGTTATATATACGATACAATTTAGGGAGAAGAAGTTGTCCTTACAGTGGGCTATATATGTCAAGGTTATTGTTACTTGCACACAAAGACAAACCACACGAGAGGAACATTTTAGGATAACTCCTATAACACATAGTTTTAGTTATCCGTATAACTGTCAAAATGTGTAATATAAATGATGGGCGTAAGCATAGTTGTAGAATATTTTGTCGGATATGGCACACCATACAATTAATTTATAAACTAGGTTACGACGCGGTCGATTGCGCTGAAAGATTTGAAGTGTATTTGTAATGTAGCAGGCTATTGGATAGATCAAAATGAATAGCCAATCAGCAGTGGTGTTATAAAAAGGGGTGTGTTGTAACTGCGGCGTTGTCTCTGGGTGAGTGTATGTTTTACTGTGAAACTAATATTCATTTTATAACCGATTTGAGATGAGATGATGAACTGAGGTAGATTGCACATCGAATGATAAACAGCATGGTGATGTATGTCCAGTAATAGTATAGTTAGGTCCTAGTAGTAATAGTATATCACACGCTGGCAGGTTGACGACAGAAGATGCATATAGATTTCTTCTAACTTTGAAGATGATGACCTCTAGTGTGATGTCACATCATACCGCGCCAGTGACACTAGCATTGTTTGGATCAGACGTAGTAACACAAACTGATCCGTCCTTGATGCTTTTTACTCATTTCACGCCTTCGCGTACAATGGTATGTACCATTTATACTATGGATTTGAGGAAATCTTTCATGAATTTCGCAAAAGTTCTTAATTTGGCAAAAAGTTTAAATTTTTCAACGCTTTCTTTGGATTTTAGAACAATTTCTAATCCCTGGAAGTTTAATATTTGCTGGTTGATCTTATATGGAATAAATATATGTGCTCCAATATTCAAATTGTCATAATATATACTATTTGATATTATAGAGACATTATATAGGCCTACCCTAATGATTAAAGGTGTAACACAGCGGTGCTAATTATGGAAGACCAAACAGCTCCTTATTCAGTGTTCTTAAATTTTAAAGGAGCTAAGTCGCCAATATTTGGGACCTAGAAGTTGACACAAATGAGTCGCAACGCATACAATAATGTAATATGAATGTATATGAATTGATTTACATTCAATCGTTTCTGTTTTTACTGTAGTTTCTAATCAGTTAGGTTCGGCGACATACGCCAGTATTCTCAATCGAATTTCAATCTCTAGCTTCTGGTTATTCCAGTCTACGCTGATAGCATTTATTGGGCATGCTCTCCAGATAAAAATATAGCGTTAACGTTTGACATGACTTGTGGAATATGCCTAGCCTCGTTTTTCGAGTCTCTTATTACAAATAGCGCTGAAACGAATTATGGTACACGATTCGTGTACCAATTGTAAAATGTTTATTTTTTCTTTAAATATTTGATATCAGAAGGCCATCTTTTCCCGGTAAGATCACAAGATCAATGTTGATTTAAACCGACAAATAAATCGTGTTTTGGATGATATTGAGTTAGAGATTTAGCTACTTTAGTTCTTAATTCATAGTCCTTAATTCTTTTTTCTTCATTTGTTGTCGTATTTCGACATATGTATACTAAAATTAACTTTTGTATCTTAAAGTCAATATTTGTTTTACAAACCAGACATATGTCATATCAGATTTGTAAATTGTATCTTTTTTAATTTATTTGTATTTTAATATAATGATCAAATTTCTTTTAGAAAATGAAAAAAATCTTAATTATATACATTTCATTAAAAAAATTTACATGTATTTACATTTCATCAAAAAAACATACAGTAAACCAAAACTCGAACAACAAATTTCCAAAAACTAATTTCCATTTTCATGTCCCGATTTATTTCTTTATTAATTCAACCAAAAACGTTTTGAGTAATTATACGATATTATTTTATCATTAAGTTGTAAATAATTTTATCATACAGAACAGAACAAGACAAGACATCAGAAGACTTACATAAAGATAGAGAACCTGAGGAAACAGATGGAAACATTGAAAACAAGGCAAGATGAAGATTCCAAACGAATGTTGAAGGACAAGAAAAGGAGAGAACATGAACTAGAAACATACAAAAAACAAACTAAAGAGAAAGAAGCTCTGACAAAGAAGAGAATAGATGATTTGGAGACATGTAATAAAACTCTTACTCTAAATGAAGAAGGTAGGTTGATATTTATTTCAAATATTTTACGTCATACACACATCGTCACACTTCAAAGTCATAAAACCCATCATCAAACTTTAAACTTATTACGTCATATATCTATCGTCATTGAGGTCAGAACAAGTATAACCAACTTTACAGTGTTTCTAGTTAGAAATGAAATGAAATGAAATGGGGTTGAACGAGATATTGTTCTGCAGTCGTATTGTATTGTATTGTATATTACAGATACCCTTCAGCGACAACAACAATTATCATTTGATGCCTGTCTACATGGTACATTGTCTAACATAAAACACATGGTGAACGAAGATATTAAAGCCAGAGACATTAAGGATAGGACACCGTTATTTAGATATTGTGAATCACGTGTAAGTGTTGTGGATAAAATACAATATCTGGTCAGTCACCAGGCTGACATGAACCATAAAGACAGTAATAATAATACCATATTACACTGGGCATGTGGGTTCAGTACTTTATCTACAGTGCAATATCTAGCTCATGATTTACACATGGATGTTAATGCAGCAGGTCATAACAAGGAGACACAGTTATTTCACTGTTGTCAATCAAGTGTAAGTCCTGTAGATAAAATACAATATCTAGTCAGTCATCAGGCTAATATTAACGCTAGAGACAGTATTAATATTACCATCTTACACTTGGCATGGATGTTTGGTACTTTACCTACAGTGCAATATCTAGTTGATGAATTACACATGAATGTTAATACAGCAGGTTATAACAACCTGACACCGTTATTTTACTGTTTTAAATCAAGTGTAAGTCCTGTAGATAAAATACAATATCTAGTCAGTCATCAGGCCGATATTAACGCTAGAGACGGTAATAATAATACCATGTTACACGCGGCATATGGTACTTTATCAACAGTACAATATCTAGTTTATTGTTTACATCTAGATGTACCAGTTAAGAATAAACGTGGTGAAACAGTTCTAGATTATTGTAGATGGTCAGACACTGAATTAAAAGAAAAGATAACATATTTCAAGAACAACTACAACTGACGTGTTTCGGTATGTCACGTCACGTCACGCCTTGTCACATCTGCATTCATGTTACATCATAAATTGTTGAGTATAATGTGGAAAAACCTGTCATTTTAAAGTCTTAATAAACCGGAAGTAATACTTCATGACCGAAATTTTTTGTATTGTTAGGTCATCATACATTTAAGGGTCATGGAAAGATTAGGGCACCATCTAGATGGTGAAAAGTAGAACAAACTTTAAAATGAAACCGGAAGTAAACAAAATAAAAATTCAAAACTCGGCTCCCTAAGGATTATTGCCATTTTGAGTAGATCCAATACAAAAAAAGTTTTCAAAAATCGGAATTAAAATGGCGGCTGAATATCGATTTGAATGTTTTGGGGAAAATCCAATATGGCGACCATGCGGTTGAATATGTTACAGAACAAGGTCTTTGAAAATGAAAGATAATATCTGGGGCAAACACCACCGTATGTCATTTTTTGTCTATTTTTGAAATGGGGAGAACTATTCATTCCGGAAGCCGTCACAAAATGCCATGTTGAAGGCCTCGATGTGTTCCTTATTCCTACTAAGGTTCAACTTGATACCTCAAATAGTGACGGAGATATGCCATCTTGAATGTCGAAAAATGATGAAGAAAACTATCGCAAAACTTTGATGCTAGTATTAATCGAGTGAACTTCCGAATTTCTAAAAATCGTCAGTCAAAGCCTATATGGGATTCGTCCAAAGAATCTAAAAATGAAAACCCGAAAAAGATCCGTTGAGAAATAACCGAGATATGGGCAATCTAAGATTATTTTTTGTCCCATGCGTAAAACACTTCCTGTTCGTCAAAAATGGCCCAATTTATATTTATTAAATAGATCCGCGGAGGTCAAACAACATCAACAGTTAAAACTACAGATGACGTATTTGTACTTTATCTACAGGACTAATACTGTGTATATATTTATTGTTTATGTTGCTGTTTAATTTATTCAAAATGTTTCCAATATTTTATTGTATATATTTATTTTTAATAAATACTACCCTTGACAAAAACTCGTCTTTATTTCTTATACGTCCACATTCATAACGTAAAAGTAATTATGCCGTCGCCCCCATATGTGTGTGGAGGTGCATGTGTTTTTGTGTCTCTAACAGGCCGCAATTCTTAAGGAAACGTCTTGAAATTTTGCATACTCATTACTTATACCCTAAGGATAACTATTAAATTTAGTGCATGCAGAGCCTCGCCCAATTTTTGTGTTTATTGTCCACAGGCTGCAATTCTGAATGATCATCTTGATACTTGGCGTTTTTATTTTTTATTCTGTCAGGGCAAAAATTCCCTCATACCACACTCTACGGCGTATGCCCGTCTTCCTTCATTAGCCCCGTCGGTACAGCAAAGCAGAGGCGTGTGAGGGCCCCCAAAGTGCAGAGTTGGCAAATTTTTGTTTCTGCATCACATGCTAGCATCAATCTGACGTATATATATGAGCCATGACATAACATATCTTGACCGAGGAATTATGATTAAGTCACGAAGATAGGAACATGAACATATGTTAGCAACAATCAAGAACGAAACGACCTACGTGCAAAGAAAAAAGCTAGCATCAACTTGGATTTGTGTTTCTTACAAAGGGTACTTACCATGCTTCATTCGATTCTGTTCGCTAATAAGGGAGACGTAGCACTTAAGAGTAAACGGACACAACCCCAAGAGCGAGAAGGTTTCGACCCCGGTGTACAAAGTGTACTTTAAGCATATCTATATATTATTTTGTCGGTTATGGCACACCATACCACTGATAATGCCCATCTTCATTCTCACGCAAGTCGGACTACAAAGGAAGACAACTCTGTTTGGGAGATTGCGTCTTCATTGGCCCAGTGGGTTCAGCAAAGTAGGACGTTAAACCCCATGTATTTATTTTTTATTTCTCTACAATAGCTGTCACGAAACCTTATGAAAAGAATCAATTCTTTGTATCTGTGGGGGTGGGGCTTGGGATCGTGGTGGCCTGTCATTGAGTCAACTGGCGGGTTTCCATTCCTCGGTTGTACGTGACAAAGAGTAGGGTCGCCTGTCCAACCTCGTGGGTTTTCCCCGGGTCCCCCAGTTTCCTCCCAATGCTAAAGACCCCTACGCACAAGCGAGTTATTGAAATAACATTGAACCATATTAGTCCCGAACTGACATAGTTTCTGTCGGCCACCCGACAGGATCGCCTGTTTAACTGCGAAAAAAACACCCTTACTTGCAATTTTCTTGGAATAAACTTGTATCATATAGTAGTCCAGAAGTGACCCCTCTCTCTCTCTCTCTCTCCCTCTCTCAGCGGGGGGGGTGGGGTCGAATGGTTAGCACGTGTGTGCTGTATCATAAGGCCTGTCATTGAGTCAACTGGCGTGGTTTCGAATCCCCGGTTGTACGTGACAAGAAGTAGGATCGCCTGTCCAACCTCGTGGGATTTCTCCGGGTCCTCCGGTTTCCTCCCAATGCTAAAGACCCCTACGCGCAATCGAATTATTGAAATAAAATTAAAAACCATGTTAGTCCCGAAATGACCTTGTTTGCGTCCAGTGAACGTTAAATCCCATCTCTCTCTCTCTCTCTCTCGGCCGACAAAGGGGTGTAAGATAATAACTAAACCTACCCAATTTCGTGTATTACCCATATCTTCTAAATACACTGTTATCTATTTTGGTATTATACTGTATATACAAAGAACACGGGTATTGTTGATACCACCCAACTGAACAATAACAATGTCCTCCACTGTGATAAAAAAAAATTAACTTGAACAGAGCACTAATAAGCTGTATATATACTCCAAACTACTGTATCGAGAATCTTAAACGGTTACACCAAACAAAAATATGTGAATCACACAGTAAATATTATTAAAAGTAAATGTTAGAATCCCCGCACAACAACAACACAACAGAATTGGTGTAGAGTTAAGATTTTTTAATGATTATAACATTTCGGGTTGTAATACCCTTTTTTATCTTCCCGATCCAGTCAGTACCCACACAGATTTACCAGTCTGTCCAGCTATAGTTACTCTAGCAAGGGAGTTTTTCCGTTCCTTCACGTCTCCAGTTATTAAAAGTACGTTAAAAAGCCATAATTTAAATGCGAACCGATCAATATTGAACTATATATAACTCTTCTTCTCGTATCCAGTTATTAAAAGTATATGAAAGTTAAATAGCCACAATTTAAATAGTTATAATTTAAATGCGAATCGATTGATATTGCCCTATATATAAAGTTTTACACCACACAAAAAAATAGGCCTATGCATTGCACTTCAAATGTTACTAAAAGTATGTTAAATAACCCAATGCGAATCGATTAATATTGCACTATATAACTCCACACTGGTCTATCTAGAATGATATCTTAAATATTATGAAAAATAAGTTAAATCGAGATAAGTATATCATCCAGACGTAAACAGTGAATCAGTAGCTGCCCCGCCATATCACATGGGCTTCTATTTTTCAGTTCGGTTCTACTCCCCAAAAACAAAATCTAAATAACAACAACACAAGGTTCAAAGTGTAAACAAGGGTGGTAATTCTAATGTTACATCTTGATTATCAAGTTACTTTATTAGTTATTATACAAACGATTGACATCATTAATTTTAGCCAGATAAATATGATCAAATAATATCAATAATGAAAAACGCCCCCAGATGTTTACACGTATTTAAAGGGAGTTATCTCCCTTAATAATTTATCGCTCTTGCATACTTTTTTGTTTATTTTGAAACGTAACAGTTACGTTTCAAAATAAACAAAAAGTATGCAAGAGTGGTAAAATATAATATGTGATATATATGAAGTTGACATTGATAATGGGTAAGCGTATACTTAAAATAGGTAAAAAAAAACCCAGGTAAATCAATTAATTGCGCAAGTACAGCTGACATCTTGTGAACTTACGAACGGTTCGAAATTAGTAAATTTATCAATTACGCGATTAATGGGATAAAATAGCTTTGCCTTTAACTTTACTGTTAATGAGTACTATTACCAAGAAAATAAATATTATTTTCTTTTATATAATACCATACTTATCATAATCTAGGTCTGCAACAATAATTATTAAAGAAAACCCAAATATTGCATCATATGTCCCATGGAATACGTACGATATGGTTAACCTGTTTTAAAATGAAAGTTAAAAACTCCATATTATGTCATCGATAGCTGGCGACATTATTTGTATCACATTGTACGTGCAATCTAATTGTAATATCCCCTAGATAACCGTCAAGTTGAGGGGATCACGTGGCTAAGTGGGTAAGACGCTGGCTCGCTAGTCTGGAGGTCGGGTGTTCGATCCCTGTATTGGCCGAGAAAGTTCATCCAGATTTTCCGGCGTGGTTCCCTCTTGTCAGTGATGCAGGACGGAGGGCCTGACAAGGACAGCTGTCTAGTCCTTCGGATGAGACGAAAAACCGAGGTCCCGTGTATACATTAGAATGCACGTAAAAGATCCCTTGGCAGTTGGAATTCGATATAAGAGTAGGCGATAGTGCCGCTGCCCGGGCAAAATTTCCCTCATAGCACACTGTATGGCGTATGCCCGTCTTAATTAGCCCAGTATAGGAGCAGAACAGTAGGACGTTAAACCCCATTTCATTTCATTTCATTTCATTTCATGTCCATCTTTCCAGCACATTTAACGAAATCAATAATAAAAAAAACCCAGGAAAAACACGAATGAATGGGCACCTAGCATAATGCAGGCTGTCGATACTGCCATGTCAATTTTGCATTGGGCTAAATAATTGGCCCATGACGTCATTGAATTATTGACGTCATTTGAAGAAACGGGGGGAGGAGACGTGTATTGGAATGGCACAGATGGATGGGGCTACTTTATTCTTAACAGCTCAAGAAATCTTTCAACACAACGAGACTGCTAAAAGGTGTGTATTACAATTTTAATTGAAAGGTCTTTTGTTTTTTGTTTTGTTTAGTTCATTGACACTGCATTGGCGTATCAACTTATATTATACCTTTCTAAATAATATGACTTTTGTTTTAGCCAACAGAAATTATTACACGAAATCTTATCAAAGAGAGCCGATATAGAATTTGATTATCTGAGTTCTCTAGCAGAGTGGCAGAAACATTATGAATCTTTAATTAATTCAGAAGGTACGATTCTTCTATTATATTTCATGGTTCCTAGACTAATATTTACTGTAGTTGATTAAAGTAAACACAAGGTAGTGATAGAGAGAGAGAAAAGAGAGAGAGAGAGAGAGAGAGAGGGGGGGGGGTAACGTCCACTCGACACAACCAGGTAATTTCGGGACTAACATATGGTTCAATTCAATAATTTTATTTCAATAATTCGCTTGCACGCAGGGTCTTAGCAGTGGGAGGACTCGTGGAAAACCACGAGGTTGGACACGCGACCTCATTCCTTGTCACGTACAACCGGGGATTCGAAACCACGCCAGTTGACTCAATGACAGACCTTATAATACAGCGCGCACGCACTAACCATTCGGCATCCACCACCACCCCACCCCCACCCCCAAACACAAGCTAGGGGCCGATGGAAATAAAATGAAATGGGGTTTAAATCCCTACTTTTCTGCTCCGACTGGGCTATTGAAGACGGAAAACAATTACTGTATTTTTTAATCGGAGCTACGTTTATACCTTGATTCTGTAGATAATTTTTGTGTTTCAATTCCAAAATTCAAATGCATTATGTAAACTGTAGATATTAAAGAGTTCATCGGGATTTTCCGGCGTAGTTTCCCCTTGTCAGTGAACAGCTGTCTAGTCGTTAGGATGGGGTGCAAAACCGAAGTCCTGTGTACAGATTGCCGTGCACGTAAAAGATCCCTTGAGAGTTGGAATTCGATATGAGTAGGCCGTAGTGCTGCTGTCCGGGCGAAATGTCCCTCATCGTACACTGTATGGCGTATGCCCGTCTTTATTAGCCCAGTCGGAGTAGTGCAGCAGGACATTAAAGCCCATTTCTTTTCATTTCGTTTATTATCGTAGCAACGGTACTTGTCAACCGAGACTAAGTGTGGATTATCCATTTTATCGTTAAATTTTAAAATCTGGCGGATGTTTAAATCCATTTAAATCTCAGCCGATGGTCTAGAAAGTTGATTATGGGCTTGTCATGTGAATAAATGTCTAAATAATAGTTTATATAACATTTGAAGTTAACATAAAGATCTGCTTCAGGCAGGTTTAGCTCATACATAATGGGGGGGTCACGTGGCTAAGTGGGTAAGACGCTGGCTCGCTAGCCTGGAGGTCGGGTGTTCGATCCCTGCATTGGCCGAGAAAGTTCATCCAGATTTTCCGGCGTGGTTCCCCCTTGTCAGTGAAGCAGGACGGAGGGCCTGACAAGGACAGCTGTCTAGTCCTTCGGGTGAGACGAAAAACCGAGGTCCCGTGTATACATTGGAATGCACGTAAAAGATCCCTTGGCAGTTGGAATTCGATATAAGAGTAGGCGATAGTGTCGCTGCCCGGGCAAAATTTCCCTCATAGCACACTGTATGGCGTATGCCCGTCTTCATTAGCCCAGTATAGGAGCAGAACAGTAGGACGTTAAACCCCATTTCATTTCATTTCATTTCATACATAATGCACCTTTAATATACATGTAATTCCTATTCGTTTGTTGTTTTTTTTTATTTCTATACAGAATTTGTATATACCGGAGAAATACGCGATGTATTTTTACTGTTATCAAGGGAATCTGAAAGTGCGGCAAATATACATCATAATATATTTAATAAAATATACACGGGAGGGTGTAATGTGCTGAAAACAGCCATCAGGTTAGTTATATATATTTAATAAAATATACCAAGGGCTGGAGGGGGGGGGGGTAATGTGCTGAAAGTTGTAAGATAAAATAAGATAAGATTTTATTGTATCATTGCATACACAGTTTAAACAAAAGTTGATCATACAATTATAACATAACATCTGGGGTGATCCTTTATGGATGTATAAAGTTGTATATTCAATAAAATAAACAAGGGGGCAGAGGGCGGGGGGGAACAGCCATCGGGTTAGTTATTATTTATTTATTTCACTAATGGCATAATATACAAGGGTGGTGTAAATTGTTGAAAAGAGCCACCCCAGGTGAGCCCAGGGTCAAATTATCCAGACGCAATTCGCCAGAGCCCCAAATTCGCGACGCACCCAAATTCGTCCGGGTCATGCTCGTTAATTTGATAGCACATATGTAGGGGTGAAGCGTGGCAACGCAGCGTGATTCGCGCGCGCCAACGTCGATGGCCTAAATCATTCACGGAGTCATGCTGGTTAATTTGATACCACATGTTGTGGAAGTGGACCGTGATGGGCGCATACATACATACATACATACATAATACTTTGATTTTATTTGTATAGATAAAATGTTATACATATTATTATATTTATACTCTAGTGTTACTAGTATGATACTCATATGAAATGTTATACATATTATTATATTTATACTCTAGCGCTACTAGTGATGCTCATATGAAATCTAAAATACAGAAAAAGGCCGATACAGTTCTATCTGAATTCAATACCATCGAGAAAAAACATTCTGAACTTCTGCAGAAGCTGAAAACGGCAAAACAGGTACATTTTATTATTGTTCTGACTCGGGTGTGGTGTGCTACATTCGGTCTGTATCTCATTCAGAATGGTTCATTTTTGATAAAAAAAATCACGGAATTGTTTGTTTTTAGGATTCTGTTGGATGAGTTTTATTCAACGCCAAGAGAATTTGTGTGTGCTGAAATGGTGCGAGAGAGAGAGAGAGAGAGAGAGAGAGAGAGAGGGGTTAACGTCCACTCGACACCAACTAGGTCATTTCGGGACTAACATATGGTTCAATTTTATTTCAATAATTCGCTTGCGCATAGGTGTCTTTAGAAGTGGGAGGAAACCGGAGGACCCGGAGAAAACCCACGAGGTTGGACAGGCGACCCTGCTCCTTGTCACGTACAACCTGGGAATCGAAACCACGCCAGTTGACTCAATGACAGACCTTATGATACAACACACACGCGCTAACCAATCGGCCATCCAACCCCCCGAAGTTAAATGGGGTTTAACATTTTACTGTTCTGCTCCCACATGAAGACGGGCATGCGCCATACAGTGTGCTGTACAATGGGGACAATTTTGCCCGGACAGCGGCACTACGGCCTACTCTTATATGGAATTTCAACTGACAAGAGTTCTTTTACATACACGCCAATGTGCACACGGGACCTCGATTTTTCGTACCATCCTAAGGACTAAAGAGATTATGTGATAATACAATGTGCTGTACCTGATCATAACGGATACATAACCGCATCAAATTTAACTCATCGCAATGTCCTTTTAATTCTGCTAGGCAACACTCATAATAATTAACAAATTGGGGCAATCTAATTAAAATATAGATCTATATTTCGTTTCGTTTTTTATACTTTCGATGGCCTACACTACATGTAGATCTAACAAGTTATAGTGGGAGT